AGGGAAAGAGTGACTCACTGACTCACAGCTGATATTATATTTAGTAGTTGAGGATTCTGTATCATTTTAAGTTAATGAACATGTTTTCTGTGTTTTCTGATGAAGGTGGTCTCTGACTTTTCCGAAGTGCTGTTCTTTGGCCCAAACACTCCAAATGCACTAAACCAAGGTCTTCAAGTCCAGGCATTTAATCCCATTATCCAGTTTCCGGTCCTGGATTTTGGTATTACTGGCAGTTAACTGACCTGTTGATGCGACCGATTGGCCACTAAGTGTCACACCTACCAGCAACTACAAAATCCAGGACCGGACACTGGATTCAGTATCTATACTTGAAGACCTCTGCCTTAAACCACACTCTTAAAAAGATGGTTCTGCCAGTGTTCTTTAGTAAAGAAAATGGTTCTATATAGGATCATGAACACTCAAAGAACCCTTTGCATGTCTAAAAGGTTCTTTTCATCTGTGTTGTGTATGGTTCTATAAAGAACCCTTTTGAAAAGGGTTCTACATAACACCAAAAAGGGTTCTGCTGTTGTTACAATATGAAGCTTGTTACAACAGAAGAACCCTGTTGGGTGCTCTATAAAGCCCTTGTCAAAAGGGCTCTATATAGAACCATATACAACACATAAGCAAATACACTCTTAAAAAGATGGGCTTTCAAAGGGTTTTCAAAGAAATTGGTTCTATATAGAACCGCAAACACTCAAAGAGCCCTTTGCATAATTAAAGGGTTCTTTCATTGAGAAAGTGTTCTTCAGATTGATGGAGAATGTGCTGTAGATGACCCTTTCATGATGAAAAGAACCCTTTATCCTTGCGAAAGAGTCTTTGAGTGTTCATGGTTGTACATAGAACCATTTTCTTTACTACATTACACTTGAAGAACCATCTTTTTTACACGCAAATGTTCAAAGAAAAAAAATGCCTTTCAAAATAAGCAAAAGAGTTTTTTCTCCACCAGAGAAAAGCTGCCCGAGAGAACGGAGGAGAGCAGAAACATTCAGAACATACACAAAGATTCAGATTTCCAGATTTTTGTTCCCATAAAACAGTCAGCAATAAACAATACCTAACATAGTGAACATTATGGGAGGCATAAAGGTGGCGAGGCTGATGATGGTGTGATTATGACTTGCTCTCTACAATCTGACACCACACCCTGGTGTGAGTAAGGCATGTCAGGACATATGGCTTCCTCCCCCAGCGGCCAGCCCAGTTTAATTATAGCTCAGATAGACTGCATGTGGTGCAGAACAGGTAGCAGAACCTACAAAAATATTAAAAAATGAGAAAATAACCAAAAGCTGTAAATATGTGCCCTCAGACACTAAATACTGCATATATTCATTGACGTGTAATGGAAATTTAGATAAAACAGATATATTTTACTGATTTTTTAGCTAAGATTGGACCAGCAGGGATGGGAGGACATTTGGCAGCTGATGGATGATTAGCTAGAACCCCTGCAGAGACCTGATCAGCTACAGAGAACAGGGGCAGATCTTAGCAAGGACAAAGAGGAAGAAAGTTCACTCGCTCTGCACTTTGTAAAACCATCCCTGTTCAAAACACAGTGTTAGTATCTACAGTGAAAAAAGAAGCTGAAATAAATAAGACTGGACTGAGATGGGATGTGAAGTCATTTACGGTGAGTTTGCATGAGGAAATGTGTTTGTGTTCTGCAGGATTGGCGGCTCCGTGCCCATCGTGTACTCGTACTTCTCAGAGTTCCTGCAGATGGATAAGAGAGGAGAGCACCTGAGCTGGCTCTGCATGTTCTGGATGATCGGTGGCATCTACGCCTCCTTCAGCGCCTGGGGCATCATCCCCCGATACGGTACTGTACACACTGTTCAACAGCATATCATCCCCAGAACTACATAACCACACAGTATAGTGCACTAAATAACTATAAAACATTGTGTTTAACTATATTTTATGTTGTACGACCATTTAATTCTTTCTTCATGTCATGCCTAATAACACCCTTACCCACCATCACTGTAACACACAACCTCTTTTGCCTTTAATGATACATTATGTAACAGTACAGCTCATCATAACATATTATATAACAGTATAATAGCATATAGGACACTATGTAACAGTATAGTACAGCGTCGTACACTGTAGTACAGCATAGCATAATATGCTATACTATATGATGGTAAAGTAAAGCATAGTACACTATATACCTGTATAGTACGGCCTAGTATTCTTGGATGTAACAGTGTAGCACAGAATAGTACACAATATATCAGAAAAGTACAGCCTGGTATACTTGGAAATGACAGTATAGTACAGCATAGTACATCATATACCAGTATAGTACAGCAAAGTATGTTATATACTAGTGTAGTACAGCATAGGACATTATATACCAGTATAGTACAGCCGAGTATACTTGGATATAAGAATAAAGTACAACATTGTACACCATGTATCAGTAAAGTACAGCATAGTATACTATATTATGATAAAGTGCAGCATAGTACACCATATAACAGTATAGTACAGCCTGGTATACTTGGATGTAACAGTATAGTATAGCATAGTACACCATATATGAGTAAAGTACAGCAGAGTATACTGTTTGCGGTATAGTACAGCATAGTACACTTTATAACAGGACGGTACAGCCTGGTATACTTGGAAATGACAGTATAGTACAGCATAGTACATTATATACCAGTATAGTACAGCATGGCATGGCATACTATTTATGCAATAGTGTAGCATAGTACACTATATACCAGTGTAGTACAGCACAGTACACAATATAGTGTATAGCACTTTGTTATTGTATAGCACAGCTTAGTACACTATATAACAGTGTAGTGCATCTGGGTATACTTGGATATAAGAATAAAGTACAGCATAGTACACAACATATCAGTAATATACAGCATAGTACACTATATTATGGTATAGAACAGCATAGTACACTAAATAACTATAGTACAGCCTGGTATGCTTGGAAATAACACTATAGTGCAGCATAGTACACTATATTATAGTGTAGTACAGCCTAGTACACTTGGATATAACAGTAAAGTGCAGCACAGTACAACTGTATATAACAGTATAGTACACGCTCACAATATAATCCATTATGCATATAGTACAGTATTTCTTTAAGTATATACACGCTGCTCCACCAGGCTGTTATCAGCACTGTTTTCTTGTGCTCTGTTGTTGTTGGTGTGCTGCTAAACGCTGTATGTTCTGGGTCTGTGTGTTTGCAGGTTGGGGGTTCAGTATGGGAACAGAGTTTCAGTTCCACAGCTGGAGGGTTTTCGTGCTGGTCTGCGCTCTGCCGGCCATCGCTGCCCTCATCGGCCTCATGTTCATGCCTGAGAGCCCACGCTTCCTGCTGGAGGTATGAGGTCAAAAGGTCAACTCCACCAAAAAACAAACAAAAACTCAGTTCAACCAGGGCAGTGAGTCTCTAACATAAAAGGTCTAGAATTCACTTCTTACAGAGGTCAGAGAGAATGTAGGAAATGTGTGCATCTTCAGTATGTTGTGGTGGTGCCCCCTGGCTCCATATGTGGGGAAAGGAGCTTAAGGGGTGTGTATGCAGATCTGCGCCGCATGCCCCGCCCCCCTCTGTATAAAGAGATTAATGTTGTTGTTATGGCTTTAGGTGACTTACCTGCTATTTTTGTGCTGGTGGTTCTAATTAAGAGCACTTCCTGTAGCAGAAATATGGCCTCGTTTAACGCTTCCTCTACATGATGCTAAAATATACATGCAAAATGTAGTTTTGAATGTAAAAGTTATTACATTTACTTTTAATTACTCATAAAATACCCAGAACACATGCTGCTCTATTTTACTTGAAGATGAAACTAAAATGTTAATAGTCTACGCTGCTGCACTAACTAACCTTGCTGAAAAAAGACCATTAGAACCATTGAAATCTGATGGTTTTGCTCTCTAATGGGAATTGGCTTAATGGTTTTCATGTAAGACACCTTTAGATCCCATTAGGAAACCATTACATGCATTCCAGACCACCTGTTAAACCCTTAGAGCCCTTTACAGTGTGATATCAATCCATCAGGAAACACTAAACACCATTAGTGACTATTGGACGCCAGCAGGAAGCAGCAGAGACTTTCAATGGCTTCTACCAAAAAGGATGGTTCTTCAAGGGTTCTTTAGTAAAGAACTATGAGCACTCAAAGAACAATTCAAATGATTAAAGGGATCTTTGCAGGGCAGAGCGTTCTTCAGATTGAAGGAGAATGTGTTGTATTTGGTTCTATATAGAACCTTTTTGAAAAGAGTTTTTAATGGCACCAAAAAGGGTTCTTCTCCTGTGACAAGCTTGACATCGTAACAATAGCAGAACCCTTTTTGGTGCTACATAGAACAATTTCACCATGCAAAGAACCATTTAAGCATGAAAGGGTTCTATATAGCACCAAAAAGGGTTCTGCCATTGTTAAGATGTCAAGCTTGTCACAGGAGAAGAACCCTCCTTGGTGCTACTTAGAACACTTTTCAACAAGGTTCTACATAGAACCATCTACAGCACATTCTATGTCAATCTAAAGAACCCCTCTCACCATGCAAAGAACACTTTAACCATGCATAGGGTTCTTTGAGTGTTCATGGTTCTGTACAAGACCATCCTCTTTACTAAAGAACTCATGAGGAACCTTCCTTTTAGGTGTGCAGGGAAGAAAAGCCCTAAGCTGCTTCTCATCACTCATGCAGTCGTGCTCATGTCTGTTTCAGCACGCTAAACATGACGAGGCCTGGATGATCCTGAAGCACGTCCACGACATCAACTGGAGAGCAAAGGGAGAACCTGAGAGAGTCTTCACGGTGAGTTCTAGCATCAGCTAACACCGCCAGCGCAACACTTTCTTGTACTTTAAGGCTCCGTTATGGACCTCATGGTTGATCCTCGCATGCTAGCAGTAATATAATCCCACTTCCCCCACGACCGTTTGAACCAGCTTTGACTCTTTGCGGCTCAGGTGTCTCAAATCAAGACTCCAAAGACCCAAGAGGACGAGTTCTTCGAGATTCAGAGCTCCACTGGTACAGCTTTCCAGAGATGGGTGGTCCGCACAGTGACCCTGGTCAAGCTGGTAAACCTTTAAGCTAATCTCATAATGAGGTCATGATAAGGTTTTATTATGGGCTAAAGAAGTCTAAAATGTTAGCACCATTGTAAAAACCTTACATATTTATCCATACAGTGCTGCTGTTTTAAATATTATTTTTTATCTACAGGTGTTGAAGAACGTTGTTTCCCTCTTGGCTCCTGAATTGAGACTTGCGACTCTCCTCATGGCTATCATTTGGTTCACAATGGCATTCAGGTAAGCTAATATTTAAAGGGCATCTATGCAGTCATTAACCACGTTTACATGCAGTCTGATAATCCGTTAATAATCCGACTAGTAGCTCAATCCGAATAGAATCCGTCCATATAAACACCTCAATCGGAATAGTCTAGTCCGATTGAGGCCATTTGGAATACAGTTTCTATCCGACTGATCGAGGTGAGTAATCCTGTAAATAATCCGTTAAATAAAAGGATAATATCCGTGTAAACGCCTGTATCTGATTACATTCCCTATCGGAAAGTTTAAGTCCATTCTGATCATGTTCGTCGCGTCATAGTGAAAGTTTATACCGTTCAACATGGCGGAGCAGAAACTGGTCTGCAGAGGAGACGAAGTTTATGCTCTGATCTTTAAAAGACGGCGGTGGGACGGACGTCCAGCTTATGTGTCTCAGAACACGACGTCTTCCTCTCGGCCTTCTTTAATAAGGACATGTGAAGGACGTTTTACTGAGTCTGACATCATTTTAAAGTCAGTAAAAACACAAGCACTGCTCACTGCTGCTCATCTCACTCTGACCGGACTCACATGATGCTTGTTGTCATGGTAACATGACGGAGATTTTCCGTCAGATTGTTGAGTAGAAAATAAACACCTCAGTCTTAATCTGTAATCAGAATGTATTCAATCAGACTGGCAAAAGTCTTTGCATGTAAACAGAGACACTCAGTCATTATTAATCTGTACGAAAAAGACAAACTGATTCCGACGCAGAGAAAAAATCTGAGGCATTGATCAAGTTCAGAACAGTGTGAACACGAATGATCATTCAAATAGTCACTATGTAAGTCTATTAGCACTCTAAAGGTTCTGCTATCATCTCACTACAACACATACTAATCAACTCCGATTCTAGACTCATTTCAGTCTGACCAAAAAAAAAAACAATCAACAACTTAAACTGGTTAAATGAGAGCCACCAACTTCAATGTGGCAACAAATGCACAACACTTTTTGTCTCCAGTGTTATTATGTGACTTTCCCTGTCAGTTTTGCTACGTTCTTAAAAAAGATGGTTCTGCAAGGGTTCTTTAGTCATGACAATGGTTTTATATAGACCCATGAACACTCAAAAGAGCCATGTGCATGATTAAAGTGTTCTTTGCGTGGTGAAAGCGTTCTTCAGATTGATGGAGAATGTGTTGCATACGGTTCTATATAGCACCAAAAAGGGTTCTGCTATTGTTACGATGTCAAGCTTGTGTTTTGTGTCTTTAAACCAGACCCAAGCGCAGAGAGGAAAACCCGTGAGAAAGGGTCTTAAATGAATATAATGAGGTGATGGAGTGTGAATTGAGGGATTATGCTTGTTGGGGTTGAGGTGGCTCAGAGCCAGGTTCGAACCACAGATGTACTCATTGGCGGTCCGAGGAGTTACTGCTGTGCTACCGGGAAGCACAGGGAAAACTGGGAAAAACACTTCAACAAATGGGAAATAAAAAGGCGGGAAAAGGCAAACAAAGGGGACACTGAAAGCAGCGTGCTCAAACAAAGGCTGGAGCAAACACCTTTTTATGGCTCGGAGTCGTTTCTTGTTCAAGCCTTCTTTTGGTTTTAAGTAGTTTTGGGACAATTTCTCTCTTTTGTTTTTTCCAGCCCTCTTTCCTTTCCTTTCCTTTTCTTTTATTCTCCCCTTTCTTTTTATTTAAATACCCACCTGAGCTAAGTACCATATCGCTCACCCCTCTACAAAGGTGTGACAAAGTGTTGCTGTTTGCCACAGCCTTAAGTAGAGGAGTCGACAGGTGTGCCAGGTTAGGCCTAATCAGCCCGAGGGCTTCTGGGAATTGAAGTTCCCTAAGCTTATGGCACCTCACCGCCGTTGCACGCTGCTGGTGGCCAGCGGCGCAGGCCGGACCCTTACACAGTTCTGACTTTCAGACTTCACTTTTAAAAAGATGGTTCTTCAAGGGTTCTTTAGTAAAGGGAATGGTTCTACATAGACCAACTTCATGCTTAAATGGTTCTTTGCATGGTGAAATTGTTCTATATTGCACCAAAAAGGGTTCTGCCATTGTCACAATGTCAAGCTTGTAACAATAGAAGAACCAGTTTTGGTACTATATAGAAACATTTTCGAAAAGGTTCTATATAGAACCAGGTATACCACATTCTCCATCAAACTGAAGAACCTGATCATGATGCAGAGCATACAAATGGTTCAAGTGTTCATGGTTATATATAGAACCACTATCATTATTAAAGAACCCTTGAAGAACCATCTTTTTAAGAGTGTACAGTCATGCACAGTCATTACTGCAATACTGTTCTCCAGCAGCGCACTGCAGCATCCAGCTCAACATAGCACCAAATAACATGGTATAGTTGGCTAGAATGGAGTTTGGAATATTCTAGATAAAGCAATAGCTAATGTACACTCTTAAAAAAGAAGGTTCTTCAAGGATTCTTTAGGATCCTCCTCCTCAAAGATCTGTATAGAACTATGGACACTCAAATAACCCTTTGCATGACTGAAGGGTTCTTTGCACCATTAAAGAGTTCTTCAGATTTACAGATGTAGAACGTGCTGTATATGGTTCTGTAGGGAACCTTTTTAAAAAGCGTTCTGTGTAGCAAAGTAAAGGGTTCTTCTATTGTTACAAGCTTGACATCGTAACAATAGCAGAACCCTTTTTGGTGCTATATAGAACAATTTCACCAACCATTTAAGCATTAAATCTACGTAGAACCATTACTTTTACTAAAGAACCCTTGAAGAACTATCTATGTATCATAAAAGGGTTCTTCAGATTGATCGAGAATGTTCTACACTATTATATTACAATAGATGGATAGAACCACTTCACCATGCAAAGAACCATTATGCATGCTAATGGTTCTATATAAAAGACATGGTTCTACATAGAACCATTTCCTTTTCTAAAGAACCCTTGAGGAGTAAGAGTGTACAATGAAAGGGTCATTTGAAGCCTTGTGAACATCCCTTGCAATTTGTTTATCTCAGTGCTTTGCTAGAAACAGTATAAGTCATGTTTGGATGCTGGTATGCTGGTCAACCAGCATGACCATCCTGGGTGACCAGCTAAACCAGTGCCAGACCAGCACAAACCAGCATAAACCAGAATGGAATTCATGCTGGTCTGTGATGATTTTTTTTCAGTAGCACAAAATAAAAACATACTAATCACTACAATTCAGGGCAAGACCGAGCAATTAGCTTTAGCATGACAGCTCATTTTTCATGACGTCTGTGTCGCTTAAAAAAGACGGTTCTTCAAGGGTTCTTTAGTAAAGAAAATGATTCTAGAACCCTGAACACTCGAATAACCCTTTGCATGATTAAATGGTTCTTCAGTTTGATGGAGAATGTGTTACAGATTGTTCTATATAGCACCAAACAGGGTTCTTCTATTATGACAAGCTTGAGATCCTAACAATAGCAGAACCCTCTTTGTTTCCATATAAAGAACCCTTTGAGAACCCTCTTTTTTAAGAGTGTGATGCTCATTGCATAGGAAGGCGTTTGTGCGAGTGCGTTTTGGGGGTTCTAATATTTCTGCCAATGTTTGTGATGCTGTGTTTTAGCTACTACGGTTTGGCCGTGTGGTTCCCGGACATGATCAAGCATCTACAGTACGAGGAGTACGAATCCAAGGTGAAGGTGTTCCACGGGGAGAAGGTCGAGCGGTTCCATTTCAACTTCTCTCTGGAGAACCAGGTGCACAAAGGAGGAGAATACATCAATGACAAGTAAGTAAGACCTCAATCATTTGCCACAACCCTGCTAAAAAAAGCACAGACCAGCATGAGTTGCTGGTCTGGTGCTGGTTTAGCTGGTCACCCATCATGTTCATGCTGCAGCATCCACAATATGACATATCGCCACTGTCGGAAGAAAACCTGGTATCTCCAAAATAGTAACTTTAAAGGAGAAGGAAAAAACCTACTTTACTTTTAATGGAAGTCAGTGGAACCAGACACCCCCCCCCAAGTCATTTTGGGTTGTTTCTTTTGGTCCATTCATCCTGAAATTTACACATAATGTAAAGGATTTTATATCAAATTTATATCAAAAACTGAAAACACTACAAAAATGGAGATACAAGGTTTTGTTCCGACAGCAGCGATTTGCTGGTGATCAGCTAGAAGTGGGCGATAATAGCAAAAATATAATATTGCAACACTTCAAGAAAGTTTTCACGATAATCAATATGTCATAATATTTATTTTTTCAGACTGATCTGATCAGTTGGAACAGAGAAAAAAGAAACAGTAGAGCCCCATTTTTAAAAAATACTATCAAAAGCTGTGAACACAATGATTTTTATTCAGTATTTGTCACAAAATCCAGTTAATCAGGATGAATTTTGCTCTCTTTATAATGAAACATGTGGTTGGTCAGTTTCTACAAGCACTGACGATAAACAGGACATGTTCAGAAAAGCATCCTGTGCTGTAGTCAGTGCAGACGTTTATGCTCCTTACAGTCCATCACAGGCTCGCTTTGCACTTGTAACAGATTGCAAACTTATTTTCTGCAAATCTCAGTTTCTGGAAATCGTTTCCCATAAATCTCCAGTTTTCTAAGGTCAACATGATCCAGGATTCGGGTTCTAGCTAACAATCAATTTACTTAAAATACTCAAAGAAACATTCACATGTTTAAAAGGTTCATTGCATGAAGAAATGCTTCTTCAGACTGATGGAGAATGTGCTGTATATGGTTCTATATAGCACCAAAAATGGTTCTACTATTGTTTTTTGCTTAAATAATGATTTGCAGTTTTCTCGTCCAAACCATTATTAGTCAGTGGAAATATGATATAAAATCTCATTCTCCTTCTGTACTGTGACGTATTGGTGAGTGAAACAAAATGAACCAAAAACAGCCGTAATTCATTTTTATATGACCGTATATGACCTCTCTGTATCCCTTAGAATTAAATAGGCTGTTTTTGTTACTGTGTCTCTAAGACTGATGTATGTAAATGAGCTCTGTTCTGATTAATTAGATTAAGTGACCCTTATTAGTCCCACAATGGGGAAATTTCACCTCTGCGTTTAACCTATCCGTGCAGTGAAACACCACATACACACTAGTGAACACACACACTAGGGGGCAGTGAGCACACTTGCCCAGAGTGGTGGGCAGCCCTATCCACAGCACCCAGGGAGCAGTTGGGGGTTAGGTGTCTTGCACCTAACAGTAGACAGTCATGTACTGTCAGCTCAGGGGATCGAACCGGCGACCTTCTGGTTACAGGGTTGGTTCCCTAACCTCCAGCCCATGACTGCCCCTAACGATGGGCTGCCCTGCATTGGACCTTACCTGAAACACTCCCGAAACAATGCTCATTTGTAATAAAAGCATTTTGAAAAGCTTAATGTTTTGAGTGTAAATCTCAGAAGAAGCTTTGAGCACAGCTGGATTACATGACAGTGCTTAACACACAATGATCTCTCTCTCTCAGGTTCGTCAACATCGAGATAAAGTCGGTGAAGTTTGAGAATTCGCTCTTCGAGGACTGTTATTTTGAGGACATCAAGTCCACAAACACGTTCTTCGAGAACTGCACCATTAGATCCACCGTCTTCTACAACACTGGTGAGGGCTGTTCGGTATCGGAGATGTTCTGTGATGAAAATCCTGAAGATCTCGGAACAGCAGGTCGATCATGTCTTCATTATTTCCACAGATTTGTATGAGGAGAGGTTCATCGACTGCAGAATGGAGAACACCAGCTTCTTAAACACTAAGAAAGGCTGTCATCTGAACTTCGAGGAGGAGAATGATGTTCTCATCTACTTGGTCAGCTTCTTGGGAAGCCTGGCTGTGCTGCCCGGGAACATCATATCAGCACTTTTCATGGATAAAATCGGCAGGATCAGAATGATAGGTGAGCTGGGCCTCTGACCTGAATCTTTTGAAGCACAGTGAACCTTCAGTATGATCAGATTTGATTGGATTTCAGCAGAAGTGGTGGAGCTGATGTGCTTCATCAGCTGGTGCTCTATGGATGAGTATTGATTTTGTTTTATAGTCAGTGCAGACATTTATGCTCCTTTCAATCCGTCACAGGCTCACTGTGCATTTGTAATAGATTGCAAACTTATTTTCTGCAAATCTCAGTTTCTGGAAATCGTTTTCCATAAATCTCCAGTTTTCTAAGGACAACATGCCCCAGGATTCAGATTCTAGCTTAAAATCCATTTAAAATAGTACTACTACTACAACTATTCGCCTAAAAAAGATGGTTCTTCAAGAGTTCTTCAGTAAAGACAATATTTCTACATATCTATATATTTAAATCTATATATATTTCTACATAGAACCAGAATATATCTTCTTTGCCTGGTGAAATGCTTCTTCAGATTGATGGAGAATGAGTTATATATGGTTCTACATAGCACCAAAAACGGTTCTACTACTGTGACAAGCTTGACATCATCATAACAATAGAAGAACGCTTTTTGGTGCAATACAGAACCATATACAACACATTCTCTGTCAATGTGAAGAACCATTGAACCATGCAAAGAACCTTTTAATCATGCACATGGTTCTTTGAGTGCTCATGGTATATATAGGACCATTGTCATGATCAAAGACCCTTGAAGAACCACCTTTTTTAGAGTGTGGTAGTAGTGGTGGTATTTTAAATTGATTTTTAGCTACATCCTTTAGTTTTGTACAGAAGAATTTTATGCATAAATGGTTCTTTGCAGGGTGAAATGCTGCTGGAGTTTTTAAACACTGTGTCCACTCACTGTCCACTCTATTAGACACTCCTACCTTGTCGGTCCACCTTGTAGATGTAAAGTCAGAGACGATAGCTCATCTGCTGCTGCACAGTTTGTGTTGGTCATCCTCTAGTCCTTCATCAGTGGTCACAGGACGCTGTTGGCTGGATATTTTTGGTTGGTGGACTATTCTCAGTCCAGCAGTGACACTGAGTTGTTTAAAAACTCCAGCAGCACTGCTGTGTCTGATCCACTCAGACCAGCGCAACACACACTAACACACCACCACCACCATGTCAGTGTTACTGCAGTGCTGAGAATGATCCACCACCCAAATAGTACCTGCTCTGTGAGGGTCCATGGGGGTCCTGACCACTGAAGAACAGGGTTAAAGGGGGCTAACAAAGTATCAGAGAAACAGATGGACTACAGTCTGTAACTGTAGAACTACAAAGTGCACCTATATAGTAAGTGGAGCTGATAAAATGGACAATGAGTGTAGAAACGAGGAGGTGGTCAGAATGTTATGCCTGATCAGTGTATCTGCACAGAATGGAACATGTGCACTGGGATTATCATGTATCTAGTATGTATACACATACAGTGTAATTGATTTTAGATTGAAGTGTATAAGTATTTTTAAGATTAATCATAACAGAAGGGAGATCCTGGTGAATTCCTTCAGTCGACAACCACAGACCTCTCTGTCTCTGTTTTCTTCTCTAAACTTGTGTTTTCTGTAATATTTGCGCTGACAGTTCATTTCGTAAAGTAAAGCAGATTTAGAATGTTCCATTTCCTGAACATAGAAAGGTTTTAGAGAAAGAAGATTAAAGCGTCTTGTGTCTTCTCTGTCTGCAGGAGGCTCCATGCTCATCTCAGCTGGCTGCACCTTCTTCCTGTTCATGAGCTTCAGTCAGGCGGCTATCATAGCCTGGCAGTGTCTGTTCTGCGGTGTCAGCGTGGCAGCCTGGAACGGCATCGAGGTCATCACTGTGGAGCTGTACCCCGCCTCCAAAAGGTAGCGCTACCTCCGCTTACATCAGTAAAAAAAGTCTTTCTCCAAGAAATCTGCAGATACACCTCCACAGTTCAGTCTTAGAAGCTGGTTGATCATTTTCTGAAGTAATCAAACACATTCAGTAGAGTTGAGGTCTGGACTCTGGGGTGGTCAGTCCATTGTTCAGCTTCTTTGTTTGATGTGTCCGTCTCCTTTTCTCAGTGAGGTTCTTCTTGACAGCTACACATCCTTTCAGACCCACAGCGCTGAGTCGTCTTCTCACAGTGGAAAGATGGCTGTGGATTGTCATCATCATCACTCCACAGTTCCCACAGCTAGAGAGGGGGCTGATTCCACTAACCACAGTAAAGAGTCACGGGAAGCCTCGAAGGCCGAAAATGTCCTTAGCTACGTAGGGTCAGCGTTTTCCAGCAGTCAAACACCACCAGTCCAGGCAGCCTCATTGCTGCAGTGTAGTGTCACTCAATCAGCCGGCCCAGGCAGCCACTTAGCTGCGATGTAGCATCACTTAGGCAGCCGGCCCGAGAGGCCTTGTTGCTGCGGCATAGCGCTGCACATGCAGCCGAACACCACCTCCAATCAGCCGGCCCAGACAGCCACGTAGCTGCGATGTAGCATCGATCAGGTCCCCGATCCAGGCAGCCTCATAGCCGCGTCACTCAAGTGGCCGGTCCAGGGCTCACCACAGCAATGATGTAGCGTCACCCAAACAGCCAGCCAAAGACACCATTAAGCCATGACAGTCGCTCTCGGTCGCCACCTCAGTGGACATAACAGCAAACTCCTCAGCCAGAAGGGAAACATCAAAACATGCACACAAACGAAACAACTATAAAACGAACAAATGACATAAAGCGGCAGCTGTATTGCGCCAGGGTACTTACAACAGAGCACACACACACACACACACACACACACACACACACACACACACAGCTTCATTTTCTCCTCTCTCTCAAAGATGAAAGCTTTAAGTGCTGTTTATCTGATGGGGGCAGTTTTGGGGTCGACCAGCTCTTCCAGGTGGTTGTTAGGAGCCTCATTTTCTCTGTAGCTTTTAATCAGTTTTTGAGCTCCAGTTTTGGAAACTCCTGTTTTCTCACTATTTTTTCTCAGATTTTCTCCTTCTTTACGCAAGCGTATTATCTTATATATACACCTGACTTTCCTCTCGTTAGGGCTGGGCAATATGTATCGTGATATTGTTATAAATGATGTCACAATACAATATGCATTTCTGAACATATCGTGTGTATCGTCAGTACTCGTAGAAACTCATCAACTGCATGTTTCATTATAAAGAAAGCAAAATTAGTCCCGTTTAACTGGATTTAGAGTGAAATATTAAATAAAAATTATTGTTTTCATAGTTTATAACAGCATTTTTTTATGTAATAATACTGGCTCTTTTTTCTCTGTTCGATCTGATCAAAAATTAAATATTGTGCCATATCATATATTGAGAAATTATCTTGAAGTATTCCAATATTATACTTTTATCACATCACCTACCCCGACCTCTCGTCCTTACAGAGCCACCGCGTTCGGATTGCTAAACGCCATCTGTAAGCTGGCTGCTATCTTGGGGAGCTCCATCTTCGCCTCGTTTGTGGGCATCACCAAAGCGGTCCCCATCCTGCTGTCCTGCGTGGCGCTGGTGTGCGGGGGGCTGCTGGCGCTGAAGCTGCCCGAGACCAGAGAGAAGGTTCTGCTGTGAAAACGAAGCATCTCGCCCAGCACACAGAAGCGGATGGAGTCTGAGATTAACAGGCTGCGTCCAAACTAATCACTCCACTGATCAACTGCAAACACGATGAGTTTGTTAGAGCCCTGCCAGCCCGTTCATCCTCACCACTCGCTGTGTCCTTCCAGTGCACCTGCAGACGAAATCAGGACGAGATTTTCTTTTCTTATGTATTTTTACTTGGAGATTCTCAAAATTAACCCTGAAAATCTGAAAAACTATGAATACAGTTGCATGCAAAATTGTTCAAATTGCACATTGTGTTGATTTTTTTTTCATTTAAGTGAACACGTTCTTCACAAAGACACACTTCTGCACATTTTGATGCACAATTACTGTTTATTTGCTGAATTTAATATATTTGGTGGAAAAAAGTCCTTAGAAAATCTACAAAACATGTAATTTGACCAGAGTATTGAAAATTTGCATCCAACTGTTACAGTTACCTGGAATAATTAAACAAATTATGTGTAGAAATATTTAAAAGTATATTAAGTATACTTTTACTAAATACACACTTTTGTTCTTTAGTAAATAAAATGGTTCTTTATAGAGCCATGAACACGCAAAGAACCCTTTAATCATGTAAAGGGCTCTTTAAATGTGTTCATGGTTCATTTTCTGTACTAAAGAACCCTTGAAGAACCATTTTTTATTTATTACCATATATAGTTGCTATCAGAACAATCATCAGATCAAAAATTGTTTTTTTTTACCTCATTTGAAAACACCTGCTGTTCTGTACACTGAGTGAAAAATTATAATGAAAAGACCAGCAGAAATTATATGATATATTAACTGATATGTTAAATTAACTTACATTGAAAGTTAAGTCAAAATTTTTTGGAGATACGGTTTTGTTCCGACAGTGACTATATATATATATATATATAGCTGACGTTGGAAGAAAACCTTGTATCTCCAAAATGGTAACTTTACAGCAGAAGGAAAAAACCTACTTTAATTTTAATGTAAGTCAATGGAACCAGATTTTTTTCCAAGTTATTTTGGGTCGTTTCTTTTCAAACTATGTCAAGAACTGAAAAACTGAAAAACTGGAGATACAAGGTTTTCCTCCGACAACAGCGATATGTGTGTTAATAATTAATTTATATATTACTGTAAAGTAACATCCTCCACCTTTCCAAGAAGACCAGGCCTGTTCTGATGTAATCAGTGACGGGAGCCTCCAGAGCCACTTCTTAATCATTGAGGAGATCAGATTCAGGTACCTTTGAAGACGTATCTTCTCTCCTCTCGGTTCGGTTTTGCTTGTCCTGCCACAGTGTGAACTCTCCTGTACCGCTGCACCCTCTGCCTTCTGCCTCCTGCGCTCGATCAGCTGAAGGAACGTGTGTTCGTGTCCTGGTGTTGCATCTCTCCTCTGTCCTTTAGGTTTTTTAGTGAAGGTTTTGCTTTATAGATCTGACGAGCGGTCATTAAACCGCAGAACGCTGCTGCGTGTCGTTTTCAGTGGACCGCGGTCTGACCGTCCCCGTGAAAGCTCCTGTGTGTTAAAGCTGTACTGGCTGTCCATCTTCTCTCCTTTCTTTACACTGCACTTCTTTGTAAATGACCTTGGCAAGTGAAGGCGTGCTAAATATTCACAATAGATGTAATATTTCTAATTATGTGTATCTATGTTATGAAGGAACACTGAAATGCTTCCAGGTTCTAGGTTTGAGAAGGTGTGTGGCTCTTCAAAGCATCTAGATCTCTGATCCCATAATGAGAAATAATAGCTCTATCCTGCATATTTAAGCTGCTTTCACTTGCCAAGACCTCATTCTTCCTAAACTCTTGCATTCCAGCTTGACGCAGAGAGTCAAAGCCCTTAAAAGGCTGTAATGATGCAGGTCTGAGTGTTTGGTTGAATGCTGTTCTGAATGCTGTGTAGTGTAACACTGTAAAATCTCACACAGACACATAACTGATAACTGTACTAGCTGTGGACTGAGCTGCATGTGTGCTTTCTACCAAGTGATGTTTGTGTCTTTTTTTTTTCAGTGTGTCGTCGACCAAGCCAGTGATCTGAACGATCTAACGTGTGTCTCGCGTATGTAAATAAAAATGGACAGATTTAAAGCGTCAGCGGTCTAAATCAGGTTAAACTCAGTAGAAAGGTTGTGCAGAGCCAATGCAGTGCTGTACTGATTCAGTCCAACACAGAGAGCTGCTTAAGAGCAGTTAAACAGGCTGTGCTCACAATGCGAGAGGACAGTTTCTGACCCAGTTTTGCTCTGTATGACATATTAAACGGATAATCCAGCATTTTTCAACCTAATCTTTTCAGCTGTATCTGTATGGACAACATGTTTCTCTGAGCTTAGTCAAGAACTGCAAACCCACTGACTCCAAACTCACTCATAGTAGTAGCCAGTGGGCAGTCGCTTAACTCCGTCAGTAGTCAGTTAGAAAAATATGCATCTGTGCGGAACATCTTGATGAATTCTTCTGTCAGGTTTGTAAATCAAAGGGCCCAAATAAGGGGAGACCAATCCGTTTGAAATGCAGTGTAAACATTCAGTGTGTTTACATGCAGTTAATAATCCGATACCTGCAGAAAATCAGATTTTTTCAGTAATCTAATTAACACGCACTTGGGTAATCAGATAATGGGGAAACTCCAGGTCTACATGAGTCAGACAGTAATCAGATATATGCTTTACAACGAGCCAATAAACTCACAGAAGAAGACGTGACGTAAACGCAACGTAAACCACAACGTAAACCTTTATTTTGTTTGGTTTCAGCGTCACTCCAAAAGTGTTCTGCCACGACGCTGCTCGCTTATTTTCGGTCTGATCTCGCACATGCTCAGACTGAGAAATCCGAAAGAAATCAGAGTAAGAGTTTACACGCACTGAGAAATCTGATTACTGAGCTAAAATCCAGCCTCTTTATCGGATTTCTTAATCGGATTTCTAGATCGGAGGATGCTGTTTACATAACTGTTTGAATAATCAGATAACCGCAGAAATCTGATTGTGATCGGATTATTGAGTGCATGGTAACGCACTCACTGATAAAGTTTCAAAAAGTAATGTTTACTTCTTAATCCATACAGGCAAGGCAAGTTTATCTATACAGCACCTTTCAGACACTGTGCTCATTCAAAGTGATGAAACGCAAAGATAATTTAAATTTTAATTTAAAGACTAACAAATTAAAGGAGAATAGATATTAGAAACGTGATTAAAGAACGATCAAAACAACAGATTTTAAAAGAGATAATAATTAATATTTAAAATCAAAATAAAATTAAACAAAAATAAAATAAAATATAAAACAAAAATAAAAGTCCATATATGGAAACTAAGCTTCAAAATCAGCCCATTCTGAAATCATTGTTTTTGTGATGTCACAACAACCAACAGAATTGCACCTCTCCGCCTGTTCGACCAACAGCTTAGCCCCGCCCACTCACAATGAAGTTATAAGGAGTGTTTTGGTCTAGAATGCTTTTTGAATGCAGTACAGCCCAATACAGGACAGCCAATCAGAGCAGAGCTCATATACATATGTAAATATTAAAGGGACAGTAACAAATATAGCTTATGGTTAAGTAATAAAGAGAGGCTGGAAAATGGTCATATATAAATGAATTATGACTGTTTTCAGAGGCGGGACTAACGTACTAGAGAGAATAATGAATAGGAACTCAATATGAGAGGTGTGGGCGGAGTTTTCATGGATCCCAGAAAAACCTGAGGAAAGCAAAAGTAACCGGAACTACTTTTTTACTGCGCTGTTTACTGTGTCCAGTTGGAGAGTTGAAAGAACCTGATAAGAACAGATTAGGGATGATGAAGTCATGATGATGAAAATCTGAATTGTGATATTCATTCACAGATTTCAGCAGCTGCCCACTGCCTTCTATTATAAGTGAGTTTTGATTCAAAATGTTTTCTGTTGTTTTCTGAGTTCAGGGAAACACGTTGAAGTGATGATGGGAAACGGATGAAACAGATAGAAATGATGGTGAAAAATGCTGGAGCCTGACTTTAATGAAGGCCTCTGTGGAGTCGAGTTATAAGAGATGAAAATCCACTCATATCTCTCTTCAGAAGAAGCTGTAATGATATAATGAACATTAACGTTTTAATAAAACATCACCTTCTCTGCGTTTGAAGTAAATATCCATATAGGGGTCACAGTTTAACGGCGAAGCAGATTCCTCTCGTTTAAATCCACGACTGCAGTTTTGCATAATTAACGATAATTAACCTGACCCTTAAGACTGAGGTGGAGATTTTGAACGCTGACCTGTGCAGTGCTGTGAGTTTGAGAGTCCAGCTGATGAATCCAGTGTTTATGTTTCAGTTCATTTGTGTCCGTGTCGTTGTATGAGGAAGCAATATCACTCTGTCTTTATTTTTATATTCTGGTTTCATCTCGCCGTCACAGGAATGGAGAATACGTTTTCTGTTTGAATGTTTTTTGTTTTGTTTTTGTTTGTGACTGTAAAATTATGAAATAATTCAAATAAATCTATTCATGTGCTCTACGCCGTGCAGTTGTGGTCGTTACCTTGTCTAGCAATTCATATAAAAAGCATAAACAAACTAAAAACAAAGTGTTAAGAGTCTAGAAACAAACACACACGCACACATTTTCTAAGCCGCTTATCCTTCTGGGTCACAGGGGGAGTCGGAGCCTATCCAAGCGGTCATTAGGCGAAGGCAGAAAACACCCTGGACAGGTCGCCAGTCCATCGCAGTAGAAACAAATGTATTTTTCCTAAACTACTGCTATAATGTGACTAAGCTGATTGTGAAGCTTTAGCTAAAGTGAAACAGAGGCAGTATTGATTCTGTGTTAAAGGACCCGTATAGTATATGTATACATACATACATATATATGTATGTATATCCACCCTGTCCACTCATACTGAAGTTATAAGGAGTGTTTCAGCCTGGGCTGCTTTCTGAATGAGACACAATACAGGGCAGCCAATCAGAACAGAGCTCATTTACATGCAATAATCTGCAAAAGTTTGGGCGTAGCTGGTCAAAATTTGTGCGTTTTTGTTTTTCAGAGTGTAAATAAGCTCCACATCCTCCACTGAGGATGCACATTTTAATGCACAATCACAGTTCATTGTACTGTAGGTGCTGAGACAGGCTGTATTAAGGGCATTCTGATACTCGTTATCTTATGC